CCAGAAACACAGGTCTGGGGGTGCGGTCTGCATTTCTGTGGACCCGGGAGGGGTGTGGGGGCTGAATCCTGGTAGCTGGGGTGAGTCAAGGAGGGCCTCTCTGAAGAGGTGGCATCTCACCGGAAACCAGGAGGGAGGAAGTGAGTTTCTATGCCCATTAATAGTTAAAGTCTCAATATATATATATATATATTTTTTTTAATTAAAAATAAGAGTTACAGTCTCATGATATGTAGATGATGCCGCAATAAAATGCTTTACAAATAAGTAAGTAAATAAGATATAACACAAAATCAAAAACAAGAAGAAAATAATAATAATAATAAATAAGAGTTACCATCTCGGAAGCTCACAGAGGTCAGCATCAACGTGATTCACGGATGGATGGATTGACTGGTGCGAGGAGGGAGAAAGAAGGGACTTTCTACCCCTGTAAAGAGTTGCCGTCTCAGAAACCTGCAGGGTCAGGTCAGGTGCGCCTTGCCCTGTGGGTTTGAGAGTAGTCGGGATCGGCTGGATGGCCGTGGGTGTGAGCAGGAGGCCTGTCTGGCTGGAGCGGAGTAAGTGAGAGGCACAGAGAAGGGGATGGGGTAGGGAGCGGACGGCCGCAGGGTGGGCAGGACCCTGTGGGCAGGTTGGGGGGACTCTGGCGTCGCCCTGGAAGGCTGTGGGCAGAGGAGGGACGGGCCTGACTCGGGTGCTCACAGGGGTCCCCTGTGCCCTGTGAGAACAGACTGTGGAGGGAGGCTGGGACGGGGTGCACAGGGTATGGCATGTGGGATGCCCGGAGGTGGGGAGGGGCGCTGCAGAAGGAGCTGGGAGAGGTCACCGGGGAGACATAGGAGAGCTCTCAAGCAGGGATGACTTGCCCCCAGAGGACACTAGGGATGTCTGCGGTGGTCATGACCAGGGAGGATGTGAAGGGGTGGTCCTTCATGCTGCACAGGAGAGCCCCCACCCCCTATCCCAGAGAAGAATCAGGGTCCGCTGTGAGCAATGCCGAGGGGAGGGGGTCCTGACTTAGAGCAAGGGAGCAGTGAAATTGGGAAGGACCCCTTTGCTGTCGGGGGGAGGACGTTGGAGAGCGCACTGCAGGGCGGGGGTGAGGGGGTGGACAGCTGTGGGATTCTCATAATGCAAAAGGATCCATCCTTCCTTGGTCTTCCTCATCCCGTGTCCAGCTTGCTGAGTGAGCACTTGCTGAGCACCTCCCCTTCTGTGTGCCAGACACCGTGCTAGCCCCGCCCACTGAAGGCCAGCAGGGCACTTCAGTGACCACCCCCATTTTACAGATGAGGAAGCGGAGGCTCAGAGAGGGAATGTCCTGTCCACAGCCACAGTGCCTGTAACTGGCAGAGCCGGAATTCGAACCCGGCTCTGGTCCGCCACCACCCACCCCAATGCCCAGTGGAAACTTGTTCTCTCCTTCCCTGAAATTGCCCTTCCGGTCAATCATGGGTTAAAAGGCACAGGCCAGAGAGGCTGGGGGTCTGGCGGTGGGCAGAGGAGACAGGCTTGGAGGCTGGGGCCTGAACTCAGGGGTCGCTGACGGTGGAAACTCTTGAGGAAGCATCTTGCTGTGCCTGAACCCACGTAGTATCCGGGCGGTCTCCTCTGAGTCACAAATCCTGGAAGCACAGGCCACAAAGAGGAAGCCCCAGAAGTTCACACACAAACCTTTCCTGTTTTCTGGGCCTGAGCACACAGAGGCGGGCACTTGCAGAGCCAACGGCCGCCCGCACACCACCTTCTCCTTCGGGACCTGGGAATCCTAGGCCACAGGCCAGGGCAGGAGTCAGTGGCAACCCTGCTACTCAGGCGGGGAAACTAAGGCACGGGGCTTGAGACCACCCCCAGGCTGCCCAGAAGGACATGGCTGCGGGGTTTCATATCCGGGGTCTTCAGGACCTGGACGGCACCCTTTCTGGTAGGGGATGCTCTGTGCCAGTGTGTGTGTGGGGGGGGTCCTTGGGGCACGGAGGGTGGGGTCCAAGGGAGTGAGTTCTAGGCAGCTTACACTATTTTGGAACTCCATGTTCCTCGGAAGTTCTCAGAAGATTCCTGGAACAGATCTCCCAGGTGGTAGTGAGGGGCTGTCCCAGAGGGAGGGGGAAGGAGGACAGGCAGGCTGGACTTAGAAAGTCGGATTTATAGGGGCCTTAGGAGGCCCCAGGCGGCATAGTGCTTACACGTTGGACTGTGATCCGCAAGGTCAGCAGTTCGAAACTGCTAGCCACTGGGAGGGAGAGAGATAAGACCCCCTTAAAGAGTGACAGTCTCGGAAACCCACAGGGGCAGTGCTACACTGTCCTATAGGGTCACCAAGAGTCAGAACTGACTGTGGGGCAGGGAGTTGGTGGGCCCCGGGCAGCTGGAGGATTGTCTTTCTAAATTTCCAGATTGTGGATTATAAAGTCCCCAGACCCTTGGATGTATTGTGTGTGCCTTTGATTTAGTTTTCCCTTTCCTTTTGCCTTTCATGCTAAGAATTTAAAAATACATGTTTGGAGTTTTGTGTGTCTTTTGCTATTAATTCCTAAGTTACGATCTCACTGTATTTGTGCCCGAAGCCAATTCCTAGTCATAAACTGGTTTTGATAATTAATGAAGTGCTGGGTAGCAGAATTGCTGTCTTGCTTTTCATTTTAATGTTTTATTTAATCCCAGGTATCCGAAATATGATCATTTAAACCATGTCATCAATATAAACAAATTAATGAAGTCTTTTACATGGTTCTGTGCTTTTTGAAGTCCAGTGTGCATTTTTACATTTACAGCACATCTCAGTTCAGACGATTCACGTTTGGAGTGGTCAGTAGCCACATGGCTCACCTACTGGACGGTGCAGCCTTCTTGTCATATTTGATTTTTAAAACTGAGACACATCATCATAGACTGCTAATCACAGAAGAAACAACCAGACATTCCATGCTTCCACATGAAAGACTACACCACCATTTAGTACAGTTGTCTGCCCCCCCCCAAATTAAAAAGAATCTAATCTGATCAAGCCTCTAGATTCCATTGCCAATTTACAGAAGACACAGGAAAGGCACAGGTTAAAGGACACCTCAAGAAGGCAATCAGCAAAATCCAGATTATGGGGAACTCTTCATTGATAAGTAAATAAATTTATTCCAAAAAAAAAATTACAAGGGGAATGTAAAAAAACGATCATGAGAAAAAAAGTCCATGAATCGAAAGGGTTTAAATGACATGGCAGTGACCTGCACGCGTGACCCTTGTTTAGACTGAGTGAAAGGAATAATGTCCTATTCGATTTAAGAAATAATGGAACATTAGCTATTAAGAAATTGTTTTCTTTTAGTCATTTTAATAGATGCAATAAAACTTTAACTTAGAGTTTGTTTGTTTGTTTGTGGGTAGCACACTGAAAGACTTAAGGATGGAATGATGTCTGGGATTTGCTTTTTTTTTGGAGGGGGATTTGCTTTAAAATGATGTGCAAGTAGGGAAAGGTGGCTAGACGGAGAGACTGACAGCGGACTGCTGATGCTGACTGAGAGGAGTACACAGAGACTCTGCACGATTGTAGCTATTCTTTTACACATTTAAATTTTTCCACAATAAGAAGTTGGGGGTTGGGGGTGGGATCTACCAGGCACTTGTCCTAATTTTAAAAGCATCCAAAATTTTACAAGAATATAGATAAGCTGAAAGGCAAAATTAGCACCAAGTCACCGCTTGTTAACCTTGCCCTTCCAAGTAAGCCCAGCCCAGTTCCTTCAGGCCTGGGGAGAGTGTTTTTTCCTGATTTTCCATCCTGCTTCACTTCCCTCGCTGCCAGGAATCAATTCTGACTCATGGCCACCGTAGAGGCTGGAGCAAACGGCCTTCCCCAAGGCTGTCATCTTTAGAGAAGCACACTGCCACAGCCAACCCTGCCGAGTGGAGGGTGGGCTTGAACTGCCGAACGTGTGGTTAGTAGGGCGTGTGTCACCACTGCATCACCTGGACTCCTTAACAGACGACTGAAGGCTTTAATTCAGTATTGCCCAAAGGAAGGGCTCTCAGAAAAAACTAAGGCAGATCCCAAAAGGTCATTCAAGACATTAGTCAACAGAGCTGGAGAACTTACTTTGAGTCTTGCCGTTTTATACTAGGAATTCAACACTTAATCATCCATTTTTCACGATTAATCCTTACATTGGACATCAACATCCTATAACGTATCCTTATCTCATTCACCACTCACCTTCAAGTCTGAAGAAAATTATTAACTCATTCAGTTCCACAGACAGCACAGTCCCACCGACATGACGCTTAGCCTGAACTCCTACCTCATATCGGAATGAAGAATAGCCAGTATCGAACTGGCCCCAAACCTGATGGTGTTCTTGGATATCTGTAGTAAATTTGGGAAGTCACACTAAAACAAACAAAATTAAGTAAGGGGTGTATGTATTAGAAAACATTTTTTTCACAGTACAGTAAAACGTAAAATCAATAGCTTACCAAAGTTCAACCATATTATGGTGTTTTAAGCCACTTAAAAAATTTTAAATGCCCGATTAACTGTGACTCGATAGCAAATAACTTCATGTAAGTTCTTTTTTCTTTTAAAGTTTGCCCAGCATCTCAAAATGTTTACAGAGTATAACTGTTAAAATGTCAAAATATGCTTGTTATACATATTGCACTTTTCTGCTAGACTGGGATACAATCTTCCCTGGCAGAACACCGAAACTATTGAATAAAATAGACTTTTAAATCGATAGGCACTTGATTATTTTCCCTGAAATCATCAACATCAATCAACATCATTACCAAAATCTGCCAGGATTTTGTAAGATTTGATTCCTTAAATACAGCTTGAACGTTAACTTAAGGAGGGAAAGAAGCCCTCAGATGTTTGACTTTTAGGGTCCTTGTTCTGGTCCTTCAATGACCAAACAGTTATTTTAAAGGCGGTTCTTAACCCTTGTTACTATTGTAATTTTGTATTGTTACTGCAAGTGGAAGGGCTTCAGGTCCCGGCCACCGCGGATCGCGCGCCGTCTACCGGCGGCAGGCGGGACTGCAGGGTGCGCCTCTCACCTTCGGCCGGTCGGCTCGCTGCAGGTGTCCCCTCTCGCCGTCCCGCCCTCGCCATGCGGACCTCGCGAGCGCCCCCTCCCCGCCCGGCCCTGCTGCTCCTGCTGCTGCTACTGGAGGGCTCCCATTGCCTCTTCCCCGAGGAGCCGCCGCCGCTGAGCGTAGCACCCCGTGACTGTGAGTGGGGCAGGTGGGGAGGGACTCTCATGGGAGCGTCTTGGCCCCCACTTGGGTCCCCACTATCCCCCTGGGCAGCCCCCAGTCAAGGCATGATCTAAGGTCACCCACGTGAGGACACTCCCCTTCACCTTGTCCTGGCTCTCCCCGTCTCGCAGACCTGAGCCACTACCCCGTGTTCGTGGGCCGCGGGCCTGGGCGCCCGAATCCCGCAGAGACCCAGGAGGCCCTGAACATCCAGCGCATCCTGCGAGTCAACAGAACACTCTTCATTGGGGACAGGTATGGTC